CATGTGATGTATCCAAACATACTTGACATGCCCAACTGCGCGCTTTCTCCAGCTCTTCGGATGGGACCTCGAGTTCTTGTGGCGAACTGCAAACCAGAAACGGTGCGATGCATTCCTTCGTGCAGGTAGACTTCGAGAAGCCCACGAATTATATCGATATATTATGGATATGAGTGATGAAGCTGCGAAGGCCACCTGCCTCGATTGGTCCACTGGTCAGTATTTAGTATTGTCACTTGGGCTACAATGGTCATCCGAATTTCACTTAGCTTTCGTGCAAAAATGCAACGCGCTCTACGCTGCTAATGGAGTTGCTAGTCTCGTTGCGAGTGGAGATACTGCCTTCGTTGCGAAGGATTATGACAGGGCAATTGAGCTATACTCAGCGGCGATCAACCTGGATTCTGCAACATGCACCACATTTGCAAACCGCAGTAAGGTGAGGTGCGGAAAAATGCTATGGGACGATGCACTGCTAGATGCACAGAAGGTGTGATGACATCTATTGTGTCGACGTCATCGCTGATACTCGTAATTACATTAGGTCATTGAACTCGACCCGTCGTCTTACGTTGGATACCAGTTGAAGCATGCGGCGCTTCACGGCGCACAACGTTACAATGAAGCCATCGAGGCCTTCAAAATGATGCTCTTGAAGCTGGACCATGCTCCCAATATCGAAATGCGCAGTAAGCCCCAAACAATATACTCATCATGCGTATACTCATTACATGCTTGAATCTGTCTTCAGAGCTACGCAGGCAGTATGTCTCGCCGTTTGAAGTAGAAATGGCTTTTCGAAGAGTCATTGATGCTCAAATGGAAAACGCCCCACCTCGTCTGCTGAACACCTCCACTGGGCGCTTGTGCGATCGCGCGGCACAGATAAACGCCTTCAAGACGACCACAGAGTACAATGAACTTGTGTTATCAATAATGATGCGTGGAGATATACAAATGGAGCACGTCCAGGGCATGGTTGAGACGTACTTCCGATATGTCATGCTATCGCACAGGTGGGAAGGGAAGGAGCCTCTGCTGTACGACATTCAAGATAAGATTGTGTACGATTTGGATGCAGTTGGCGGCAACATGAAGTTGCAGTCGTTCTGCAAAACAGCTCGTGATGCGGGTTATCACTGGGCATGGAGTGATACATGCTGCATTGACAAAAATAACAATGTCGAGCTCCAAGAATCGGTCAACTCCATGTTTGTCTGGTACCGCCACTCAGCGCTTACTATCATCTACCTGTCTGATGTCCCACCTTCGTCCAAGTCCGGGGCACTGGCAAAGAGCGCTTGGAACACGCGAGGATGGACAGTTCAAGAATTCCTTGCCCCGAAAATCGTCCTCTTTTATCAAAAAGATTGGACCCTATATCTCGGCGATCGCTCTCCCAACCACAAGGATTCCATTGCAATTATGCAGGAGATGGGAGATGCGACGGACATAGATGCACAGGCCCTAGTTGCCTTCCGTCCGGGGACGAGAGATGCGCGAGAGAAACTCCAATGGGCTTCGGCACGTACCACCACGCTGCAGGAAGATATCGCATACTCCTTGTTCAGCATTTTCAGCGTCCACTTGGCTCCAATTTATGGGGAGAAAAAGCAGAACGCGCTCGGGCGGCTCGTGCAAGAGATTGTTGCTCAGTCGGGTGATGTTAGCGCCCTGGACTGGGTTGGGAAATCATCCGAATTCAATAGCTGTTTGCCAGCAGAAATCACCTCTTACCAAGCCCCACCATGCATGTTGCCATCTCTGTCCGAAGATGACATTCAGAAGTCGGTCTCATCCCTGCAAGATGCTGTGGTTATAGAGTCGGCCACTCGATTGTACAACGGGCTTGACTCCCTGAGCGTTGCCCGCTTTGCGCACCACCGATTGCATCTGCCCTGCCTCGCATTCCCCGTTACCGAAGTCAGGTCGAGGCATGGTCAGGGTCAGAAGACACACTTCACATATCAAGTAAAGGCAAATGGGCTTCATGATTTGTTGATCACCACGGAAGACAGACTGATCCAGTTCTGGCCAGGGAGGCCCACTCCGCAGACATTCTTAATTGTTCGTCCGTGGAATCGTGACCTCCTCGAGCTGCCCGACTTTACGGAACTGCCAGACCCCCGTTCTCCTATGGACTCGCAGGCCATGGGAGATCAGTCAGCTTCACCTGCGTCTCCGTTGTACGGTTTTCCTCCCGCATCTTCTGGAGAAAATGGGTTGTTTGATTCAGAATCTCAATCGCGAGCGTTGCGATTGATTGTTCGCCTCGGAGAGCCATTTAGCGGTTTTTTGCTAGCGCAGCAACGCGGCGGAGAATTTAGGAGAATCGCGTCAGAACACGAGATCATCGCACTAGTTAAAGACGTGGCTTCTGTTCACAGTATGATGGAGGTCAGGACGCTAGAGATATTGTAGTTGTGCGGGACCTTTCTGAAGAACAGAGATCTCTGAGGTTTCATTTCTACCGTGACGATTTCCTGTTCACCGGTATGCTGACTCGATGTTGGGCTATCTCTATTCGTCCAGTGATCATGATTACAAGACTTCCTTGGTTGGCACGAAGGTCAAGCCACCAGACCAACTTGAACGCTAGGGGGTATCACAACCGTCCCTTCAGATGTATCAAGACGACAGCTCGTAAACTCATTTCTCACTTCAAGACCCGACTATGTCCTGACAGTGAAAACGCACAGTCTCCTGTTCCTTCTGAAGTTTTGCTCATCCGACTCGCTGTGTCCAGATCATCTCCTTGTGAATTATGTTCCTGAAGACTCATTACAAGCCGAGGGACACGTGCAAAGCTTTTGTTTTAGGTGTATGCCAGAGCGGACGCACATCTTGCGGCCTGCCTCATACACTGATCATGAATATGACTGTAGTGATTGTGTTTCTATGCGGAGATACTGTTAAAAGATAATATCAACGATCATCAATGGAATGCCTCACGGTAAGAAGGAGAGATACTATTTTGCATGAGAATTTTCATGAATTCGTTAACTTGCAACCAACGCAGCATTTGTCGCATTTCCAGCGCATGCTGAACGAATCGTCCAACGGCAAGAACGAATTGCGGGACAGAGGTGCAGAGCTCCAAGATATCGTATGACAGTGGGAGACGGGGTGCTATTCTGGAATCTGGACCGCATGTACATGGTATAAATGCGCATCGACATGATGGCTAGACTGTGTCATGAGCCACCGAGTTGATTATTAACTATGCAGTCTTCGTGCCTTGAGACGTTATCTGAAAAACAAAACTTCCCCAGTTTTCAAACCGGTCAATGACAACACCTGTGAATCCATTGAAGCGGGTGTATTAAAATAAAGAAGCTGAGTGAAGATGGACTTACATCTGTGATAGTCAGTGATTCACGTGCGTTTTCAAGTTAGTACAACTGTACTTCAGAACATACACCTGTGGTATGGCGAATGAGTGCAATCTCTAGCGAATTTCTGGTGTCTCACTGAAGGTGCCATGTATATGTTCACATTGACTGGACATGAAAGAATGAGTATTGGCCACCTGGCAAAGACGATAGGGTGGGAAGACTAACAAACAACTGGATGAAAAACACGCTGAACAGAATACTTTGATCACATATTTTGCGCGCACATCGCAAGTATCGTGCCCAGGTAGCGAACCTGTGCAGAGAACTTGTCAAGTGGCGACAGTGCGAGCGTCGAACTTACATACCACTACGTATAGGCTCGGCATGACGGGCTATTGTGTCCTCTATCTGCAGCGAGCAAACCCGCTGCTTCCTATATTGGGGTCATGCAGCCTGCACAGATGTGGTTGACCTGGAATATCAAGTTATGATAGTATTCACTTTCGTTGAGAGGAATCCTACCTCGCGCGTGAATAAGAGTGCTTTGTTTCGGGAATTTAATTGTGCGTCATTCAAGCCCTACGACTCGGATATGGTCCAACATCAATACGCTCACAATAGTTGTACCACACGACGGCCACGGCGGCAACTAATGGATGATAAGCCTACCTTGAAGGAGAAGAAGTAGCACTTACTGCTCCAGACATTGAAAAGCTAAACAGCCTGCAAGATCGGCCACCATGCTGGTAGATCGTCCATAACAACGTTGCTTACGGTGGTGAGTAAATATGTGAGGTTGGAGACTGATTGTACGTTGTGACTTGTCTCAGACAGCATTCGACGCTCTATTGCCGAATATCTGTCAAACATATATATTCTTGTTCCGTGTTGTCTGCTCACACACAACAAGGCCAAGTACAGTTCGGTTAGGATTGTACACCACAGGGAGTAAAACGAAACAGAGAGTCGAGACATGATAGGCTGAAGTGGGCTTGATCAGGACTGCGTTGCACGGTCGCCTACGATGGACATCAAATTATTTGTGGGTAAGAACATTAACACGGGCTGTTAGGAGAAAGATCCTCATGGGACCAGGAACCATTTCTGCGATCCGTTGTCCACTGCCCACTGTCCAATGCACTGCAGTGGCCTGTTGTAATTAACATCGATCAGTAGCTGGTTACAGTGGCGCTGTAACTTACGACAAAAAATATATCTCAGCTACTTAAACCCTTCGACAAAGCTGTTTTGGAGTCTCTGCGGCAGTAGTCAGGATGGGAATGGTCTGGTCAGTGTGAAGATTGGTGTCAATGGTGTAAAACATGTCCTTTCACTCACGACGCTAACGTTAAAGTTGCATCTCCCTTCTTGACGCCGCAGTCACGTTTGAGGGATATTTTCCCGACGTCGAAAGATAGATTGTTAGTGGTCTGACGAAGGAACCGTGCACTGCCCGTGGCAACGCCTGCCATCTTGAAAGACACTTCTTCAAGGAAAGAAGCGCTTTCTTTCGTGATATACAACGACTGAATCATTCTAAGAGGGCTTGTCATAGTAGATATCAAGGTTATCGAGAATTCAAGGGATAACTTAAATAATTAGTAATCTGCCACCATGCTCATGGCAACTTGCGTGCTTATCGAATTGCATAGTAAGCCAAGTAGTAAGCAATCGTTTCAACATCACCATTTGGGTTCCGTTATCAGCCTTGTATCTGTGAAAACTAGTCTGCCATGTAACTATCTATAAATACAGGGCCAGTCTCGCTCAGATCTTCATCCAGCCAGTCCACCATGTCCATCCCTCCATTCGATTCCGCCACCTACTCCACCTACACCCAACCACCAAATCCATCATGGACGTATGGTCAGAGGGTCGACACCACTCCTGCCGGAAAAGATTGGGTCGCAGGCGAATCCGCAGGGTGGAAAGTCTATAACACAGCGGAAACAGACAAGGGGTACGTACTCCTCGATCTGTTGTTCAGCCGCAATTGTGACCGCGATCGACAGCGATATCTACAAGCTCTTGATCTCGGGTATCGTACCACGTCCCATCGCATTCGTGTCAACGATTAGTGAAGATGGCATAGAGAACCTGGCACCGTTCAGGTAAGATACACTCCCGTTACCTAACGCGCTCTGCACGCTTACCTGGCTTGCATCTACTAGTTGGTTTAACACAGTGAGCAATGTACAAAAACATGTCTCTTCATCGATTCGATAACTTCTTCCGATAGGTCACGAACTACCCGCCTATCATCTCATTCGCATGCAACCACGGCGCTCCGGGCCGCCTCAAAGACACGACCACGAATTTGAAGAACAGCCAAGGATTTACCGTGAACATCATTAGCGAGCCATTCGTCGAGAATGCAAATGCAACTGCCATAGACGCTCCTTCCAGTTTCGACGAGTGGAGTCTCAGCGGTCTGACAAAGGCAAAATGCGTATGCGTGCACCTTTGTGGTGCGATATATGCGCTAATAGCCAGATGTTCAGGTGCAAATAAAAGCCTCTCGCGTCAAGGAAAGCGCTTTTAGCATGGAGTGCGAGGTAATTTCATTCCATGCCGAGTCCGCTCGCTCACTAACCACGCCGCCTCCCAACAGCTCTACAAATCCATAGATATCACCCACCCAGTCACAGGCGAGCACAACAGTACGCTGATCCTCGCGCACGTCAAGTACATTCACGTGCGCAAAGACGTGCTCACAGAGAAAGGTGTCATCGACCTCACAAAGTTCAAGCCTGTCGCGCGTTTGGGCGATATCTCATATGCCCGCGTTGGAGATGCATACAGGATCGCCCGTCCATCATGGGCGCAGGATGAGGCGAAGATACAAGAAGCGTTGGTGACTCTCTCATCCCTGTGAAATAGAAGGAGGCCAGGTTACTGTTTCTTTGGTAACATATACCATAGATTATAAGACATGCAATAGATAGAGTATACCGTGATCGAGTTCGTTGCAATTTCTCATCCCCGAGGTACTCCTACCTTATAAATCACTAGCAAAGGCGCCGAGTAACTAGCGAGTGAGGAATTTGTAGGAAAAGATGAAGACTGGCATATTGGGTGCGATACGAACTCGTCGTTTGAGCTCTCCCCAGATGTGCATGTCGCGAGCTGAATACTGCGCACATGCCATTGTGAGGCTGTTAGTGAGTTCGAAGGGAAAAGGGAACAGATCGACGTTGTTACAAGACGCGTTGTAAAGATAATCGCGAAGACGAGCGAGGAAGAGCGTTTAGAGACTTTCGTTGTGGCGTTGGGCCATGCTTTGGAGCGGGGAAATCACTGTATGCGGTTCTGCTGCTAGGTATGAGTGTACATGGTCTGTATATATACGTTTTCGAACAGTTGACTAGGCCAGAGTGAGCATGAGGAGCATATGGTGAAGGTGTCAAGGCAAGGGGATCGTGGAATCTGGCTGTCTGAGCACAGGGGGTAAGATCGCGTGCGAAGAGTTGCGCAAAGAGTCACGTGGAGGTTTTCTGTTGGAGGGGGCGTAAAGGATATACAATCCTGACACCCGGTCCATACCTGCGCCAATCATGATAACATCATAGTCTAGGATCCATCAAGGGCCGCTGGCGCGCGTGGGGATGAGATCACTGCCGGCCGCCAGTCTTGATAGCACATCACGCAACCATCACGTTGAGGCAAATGTTCAACAATCTCGTGGGGAATTTGCTGTAACTTGGTGTCTTCCTGCAACCAAGCGAGCACCCATAAAGACCCACCGCTTGTCCTCCGACTACATTAATGCACTCAGGCTATATCCTCGCAAAAATCCACGTGCAGGACTCGAACAACAACCTACCGACGACTGATCACACTGCCGTCTGGCGTTAATATATCGTTTCACGACTTGAACACTTGAATCCGACTGGATTAATATCCACGTACCTCACCCGTCGAGATCATCGACATCCAAAGTAGTACGTTGTTCTATTGCATCTTACAATTGGTGTCGCAATTTATCGTCAATCGTTGTCAATCAGTCATCAACAAGCCATGCCGGTCCGGGACGCTCAGGCTCTAAGATCAAGTTGGGAGAAGCTGTCCCACGTATTTGTAAAGGGCGCTGAGTATGACTCTCGTGAATGCCAGCCTCATCCGAGACAGTTGGAAGGGTCCTGGGCAGATCTTACCAACTGCGTTCACACATTATTGCGCCGCCGAGAGAAGAGCCAACTGATTTGGCTTCATGGAGCGGCGGGTGTCGGAAAGTCTGCTGTTGCGTTCAATATAGCTGAAAGGATAAAGGTAAAATTTGCTACGGAAATGGACAACTTCAAGCGGCTCGGAGGATCTTTCGTTTTCTCGCGCAAACACGCGAAACGCTCTACGACTGGATATTTTTTTGCGACACTCGCCTACCAGGTAGGAAGCCTGTTTCCTGATTTCAAGGAGGTTGCGACAGAATCCGTCCTGGACAATCCAGCCCTTCTTGACCCCGATAAGTCTCTTCGCGACCAGATGGAGAAGCTCTTTATCTTGCCTCTTCAGAGACTTGTCAGATATCCGCCTTTGGTGTTCGTTGTCGATGCCCTTCATGAATGTATATCCAAAGCTGAGCTTGCTGAGCTCATCAGCCTGCTTGTCCAGGTGCTTCGCGAACCTCATTTACCCGTAATCCACATCCTGCTCACGAGTAATTCGCAAACCCATATCCGTGAAGCTTTTCAGCAAGCAGGAGCGGGCCCCTTGCTGTCTGAAATACGAGCGAGCACTTCTGGCGAGATTCTCGCTATGGACGTGGCATTCCGTGGTTCATCCGTAACTGGAGACTTGCCGCATATCCTCGCTATTAACACGGAACCCCGTAACGCGTGCATGACTGGGGACTTGTCAACCGCTGAAGAGCTGTTAACGCAAGAGATTCAAAGCAGCGGTGTCAACGACCACCATTCCCACACAAATCGGTCATTTGTTATGGCGCGGAAACATGACTGGGACCACGCGCTTCAAGACGCACTTAAGGTGCGATTTGTTGATCTATCACGAACCCTCTGCTAACTTTCGTAATGACGCAGTCTGTCAGTTTTTACCCTTCGTTGACAGGTTATATCTCCAAGGGCATTGCCCTCTGCGGAAAAAATCATCTCCAGGATGCGATAAGGGCATTTGACGTCGCATCCCTGTTCACGAAAAGTGATTCAGAGACCACTCTTCTTCTCTTGATTAAGGCAAGGATGCCAATTTCTTCTCGCGTATTCCTTGCTTCAACACAGTCCTCAGGCCGTTGCGCTGTTCAATGCAAATCAGCATGAGGATGCAATGCTGCGGGTGCAAGAGTTGGCTGCTGTTTGTCCTGACGTCGACACTCTTGCGTGTCGTGTCGTGGAAGTGAGTTTTATGTGTTCTGTGACTTCCGCCGAACCCAGGTTCGTGCGTGACACCAATTTTTCTTAACTCTGCACACCAGGCATATCTATGCTTCCAGCTGGGCACCACTGCCTTAGACGGCGGACGTCACAGCGAAGCTGCTGACCACTTCGCTGCAGCTGTCAAGGACAGCGCTGTCACATCGCAGTTGGCCATTCATTCTAAATACCAAGTCTTTGTGGTGGTATGTGAACGCGATGCAACCGCGAGTTTCTGTTCATGCCTAACAGTGTGCTTTGTCTAGATCTTCGGGTGGGACCTCGAGTCCTTGTGGAAAAATGCAAACCAGAAAAAGTGCGATGCACTCCTTCGTGCAGGTAGGCTTGGAGAAGCAGTCGAATCTCACCGATACATGATGAATTTGAGCGACGAAACTATGAAAGCGAGCTGCCTTGAATGGTCTACTGGCAAGTCTTCATTATTGTCGTCCGGGCTACAATCCTCACGCGCATATAACTTAGCTTTCACGCGAAAATGCAGCGCGCTTTATGCTGCCAATGGAGTTGTCGAGCTTGCTGCGAGCGGAGACGCTGCCTTGGCTGAGAAGGACTACGACTGGGCTATTGAACTGTACTCAGCGGCGATCGAGCTGGACTCTGCAACCGATACCATCTTTGCAAGCCGAAGTAAGGCGAGGTTGTTGAAAATGCTATGGGAGGATGCACTTCTTGATGCGGAAAAGGTGCGATGGCATTTGTTTCACAATAGGCCGTGCTCATTTCAGATATGCACAGGTCATCGAACTCAACCCTTCGGATTATCTTGGATACCGGCTGAAGCACGAGGCGCTTCATGGCGCGCAATGTTATGACGAAGCCATCGAGGCTTTCCAAATGATGTTGTTAAAACTGGATGAGGCTCCCGACCCGCAAATACAAAGTAAGCTCCGAATAATACACGTGTCAAAATAATTGACTCTTTGTCCAGAGCTGTACCAGCACTGTATCAGTCCATTTCAAGCAGAAAGCACTATTCGACAAGTCCTTCATGCTCACCTCGACAATGCCCCACTTCGTCTAATCAACACATCCAATGGGCGTATATATGATCGAGAGGCCCAGACACATGCTTTCAAGACGAGTGCAGAATACAAGGAGCTTCTGGCATCTGTAATCAATAATGCAGACCTCCAATTGGAGCGCATCCAAGACGTGGTGGCCAAGTACTTCCGTTGGGTCATGCTATCACATAGGTGGGGAGAAAAAGAGCCACTGCTGCACGACATCCAAGACAAGGTCGTGTATGAGTTAGAATCAGTCGACAGCATCACGAAGTTGCAGTCATTCTGCGAAGTTACTCGTGATGCGGGGTTCCTGTGGGCATGGATGGACACGTGCTGCATTGACCAGAAAAACAATGTCGAGCTCCAAAAATCGGTCAACTCCATGTTTGTTTGGTATCACAACTCAGCGCTCACAATCGTCTATCTGTCTGACGTTCTGCCTTCGTCCAAGTCTTGCACGCTGGCCAGGAGTACTTGGAATAAGAGAGGATGGACGGTCCAAGAATTCTTGGCTCCTAAAGTCATTCTTTTTTATCGTCAGGACTGGACCCTATACCTCGACTACCACTCTACCAACCACAAGGAGTGTACGGCGATCATGGAGGAGTTGGGAGATGCTACAGGCATAGATTTACGGTCCGTCGCCACCTTCCGTCCAGGGATGAGACACCCGCGAGAGAAACTCCAATGGGCATCGACACGTATCACCACGTTGCAGGAAGACATTGCGTACTCATTATTTGGCATCTTCGGCGTTCACCTACCCGTAATGTATGGCGAGAACAAACGAAACGCGCTCGGACGGCTCTTGCAGGAGATTGTTGCTCGTTCAGGCGACGTCAGTGTGCTTGACTGGGTTGGGAAATCATCCGAATTCAATAGCTGTTTGCCGGCGGACATCACTTCGTATCAAGCCTCGCCATGGTTGCCATCTCTTTCCGAAGATGATACTCAGACATCGGTTTCATCGCTGCAAGATGCTGCGGTTGTAGAGATGGCTTCAGGATTGTACCGTGAGCTTGACTCCCTGAGGGCTGCTCGTTTCGCGCACCACCGGCTGCATCTGCCTTGCATCGCATTCCTCGTCACCGAAGTCAGCGGAAAGCCTGGTCAAAACCAGGGGGCCAATTTCACGTATCAAGTCAAGGCCAGAGGGCTTCATGATTTATTGATCACCACGGAAGACAGGCTGATCCAGGTTTGGCCGGGGAAACCCGCTCCGCAAGCATTCTATCTTGTTCGTCCATGGAATCGTGATCTCCTGGAGCTGCCCGGTCACGCAGAGCCTCCTCCTTCTCCCGAAGCCTCGGAAAGCATGGAAGAATATTGGACCTTACCTGGGTCTTTGTTAGACGATGTGTCTTCCGGAGAAAAATGGACGGTTGATTCGGAGTCTCAGTCACAAGCATTGCGATTGATTGTTCGCCTTGGACAGCCGTTTAGCGCATTTTTGCTAGCACTGCAACGCGGCGGAGAATACAAGAGAATTGGGTCAGATCATGTTATCGTTGCACAGGTCAAAGACATTGCATCTATTCGCGATATTATAGATGTCAGGACACTAGAGATATTGTAGTGTACACATTGTGGATGAAGGATACCTGGCCTTGTGTTACGTGTATGCACCCACAATTATACAATGCACCTGTCCCTCTTTATTCAAATAATATCGAAGGAGGTCCTAGCACTCTGTAATGCCCTCGCCTTATAGATGTCTGATGCGGTACTCATGGGTTATCACCCTATAAAGACCGTCGTTAATTGGGAGTCACAGGTGCCATGCCTAGGTCATCATACATCATTATTCACCATGATTCATCATGAGCCGTCATATCTTAGGCACAATTAGGACAACTCAAGTTGCAATTTATTTTTGTCCAGTAGTAACCCCCAAACAATCTGAACTCTTTGAATACGAGGAATTGCAACCGCTTAAAACACTGGATCGTTGATTGTGACTCTTAAATGAAAGTCGCTTGGACCCCGCATACATCAGGAGCCACCTGCCCATGTTCCTCCTCCTCCCCGCGTACATCCTCGGCCGGTCGTCCGCAGCATCTACCAAGTCATGCAAGCGACATCGAGAAAAATTATCGGAGAAGAAGAATAGCAGCCCTAATAGGACGCTATCCTGAGACCAGAACGTGCTGTACGTATTCGTCACGTAGTAGTGAAGAATGTATAGTCGGAGTTATTTGCGTTATCAATCTATTCGAAACGGTGAGGATGCAAAAATGAGATGCGAGAATTCAATCGCACCGAATCCCGCAAGAGGCCAAGAACCAAGGCTAGACCTTCGAGATTCCGTCCCAGAGTGTATTCGGGAGAAGATCGGACTAGCCCAGTACTATCTGTGTGCCCTTCGTACACGAAGAATACCCACTGTTCTCCGCTGGTGACAACACCCCTGACGGCAGATAAGCTATCGTCAAGTTAGACTACCTCACGGAACATAGAACGATAGAGAGCTGACCCCTGCAATTGGCAATACGAAGCCGCAGCAATTGCAGCCCGAGGCAGAGTGGCCCGAACATTATCGCGCTTGGCTTCGAATATGTTGGACGTCATTGGTCCCTCGATGTATCCAGGATTCGCCAGTGCAGTAGTCGGATCACCCAGGAGGTATTCTAAAGAACGGTTCAAAGCCACTCTAGCACGCGACGGAAAATAACTAGCCGGTATACCGAGCGGGGAGTTTAGTCACCAGGAAGTCGACGACGCCAATAAACGAACATTTGCCAGAGTCTCGGTTGAAGGTCGTTCTAGGGAGAGGAAATTCTGGAATTATATTCACCGTCGTGTCACCCGGACACATGACTGATACAACTCTCAACAAGAGCATGTTGATCAAGATGCGACATCCAGCTTCCGTCTTTGGAGTTTAAATGAATATACAATCGATCACGGAAATCAGCCACCGTAACATACCCACCGTTGCGACGTGGCCGCGCACTAAACTTATCAGAAATCGCGTAGTGTCAATCGGAAGACACCCTGGTGTTTCGGCCAATCCAAGGTTTTCGACTTCTCGCCTCTTGTCGCTGATCAGGAAAAGTGGACCAGACGATATCTTCAATGAAAGGAGCGTCATTGGATCCACCTTAGAGAAGGAAGTGTGCTAAGGAGAGGCTGATAAGTGCTGTGGACAATTCAGCATCATTCAGCCTTCATCACCTTAACGTCTTCCAATTTGTCATGCAGTTCTTGGAGTGTATCGATCAAACTAGCAGGCAAATCCTCGTCTCCTTCATCAAGGTTGGAACGAAATTCCTCGAGCTTATAAAGCAATTCGGTTGTATCTCCTACAGTTAGGTCTGAAAGCTTTCGTCGTTTGACAATGGGAGGCATGATGTGCGATACATCGACAGATGCGAGAGACACAGGGATTTGATTGTTGGGGTTAGTTGTGGCTCGTCCATGGCTTCTGTTGGTGCCTAGCACTGAACTTAACGTAAATTATTACATCAGCGACGGTTAGTCGAAGTTCCACGGTGCAGAAGGACTTGAATACTTGAAGCTTGAAGAATGGTATGACTGGAAGGCGCAAGTCGGTCGGGACTGGCCTGGGCCGCCTGGCGTACTATCTAAGCCAGACGAGTTCGAGTACGCAAAATCTTTGGTGAACATTCTAGTCGACAAAACCCACGATAGTATAGTACAAAAACGAGACAGCTGGAGCGTAAGAGACGAGGGTCATTTCTACAAACAACAGGATGAAAGAGGATCGCAGATCAAAAACTTGTGAATATGTACTAGACGACAGCATACGACATAGAACTACACACAATAGAATTGAAAACATCCTCTGCTCGAGCGGCACTTCGTCTTCACGGAAGTGCGTAGCACGGTTGAGTGCCCAGGCCGCCTTTGTGCAGTCCATGACACCACCATCCTCCAAATCGGCGAACAAATTCTCGTAGAACGCTTTAACAACGTGTTTTGCGACAGCATCGTCGACCTCCCACAGCGTGCCAATGACGCTCTTGAATCCCGAAAACTGGAGACCAGCTGCGAGGTGAATAACCTCGTCGGGCGTCTCCTTGTCGCCAACGGCGGTATGACAAGCGGACAAGAATGCGAACTCAGCATGCGGAATATGTTTCTCCATGATATCAAGCAGCGTCAGGTGTTCATCTCTCATGACGAAGTGGGAATTGTAAGGCTGTGTAGGGTCTGCTTGCCATGACAAGCGAGGTGCACCCAGGTGTCCTTTTCCAAAGCTTTGAGTGCACCTGCTGTGTGGCTGCGTCACCAGAAATAGTGTTACGGTTGACCGTTGCAGGGACGAGCTTATGGACAAGTTCGAGCTCGCTGTCGACAGCCAAGAGCGCCTTGCCTTTCCCTGTACCCGGTTGACCCTGTCGATGTCACGAAGGACGGAGTGACACGCTTCTTCATCATCTGTCTAGATCTGACCAGAGCCGAAAGTGTGGGGTGTAAGAGCAGATGTAGAGATCTTCTAGGCATGGCTCTTTAGAGCGATCTGCCCTTGTTTGAAAGGGGTGAGCTGCATGGAGAGGAATGGACGTGAAAGCTGCGGTTGGACACAGCCAAATTCGAGAGCCGTGCTGTAGCTTAAGGACATGCTCGAGGACGTTGATGATGGGTAGCATGATCTCGTCCCAAACTGCCCGCAAGAGGACTATCAGATCATCGAGGCACCTTTGGCCCATGGTAGATGCGTGTCGTATCGCCCTGGCGAAGCGATCCTTGAGATTGTTTAGATCTGTCAGACAGAGACAGGAAGGGAACATGATGGGGTTCTCCTGACGTTGGGATAATGATGGCGCTGCACGAGTATTCGCTGGCAATAAGGACGATAACGGGGCCTTGGCGTGTGCCGCTTGCAAGTCTGCATATGACGGCGAGGGGAGAGAAGGAACCGCTGGAAACCTTGGAGTTTGCGTATCTCAGTTACTGCAGCTTCCATTGCCTTGTAGTCCCCTATACTCGGTTGCTGCCGATCAGCAGCAGCTCTGTCGGTGATGGTTGCAGAACTCTGGGCGGCATCGGAAACGCGCGTGCTCAGGTCAAATAATCGTGCGCCAATTTTGGATTTGCTGACTCGAGGTCTTCAACTGGAGTCTTGAGTCGAGCGCGGAGCGACCATTGCTGGCCACGGCCCTGCTCCACGAGTTCCACTGCGTGTCGTAGATTGTCGTGGCGGATGTGCATGCTGCATCTACAGGCAGCGATCTGGCACTACTGAAGGCAGCTGCAGCTTCACGCCGTGAAATTGTTGATGATCGCGTTGCCAAATGAGGTCAAGAAGGTCGAAAATGGTTGTAGGCATCCAGTAAGATATATGACCGTGTTGCTCTGCTACGATGACCCAGTTGCATGATGTCACAATGCGACCTGGAAGCCCTTAGTAGGGTGCCCCGATGCGAGCCTGAAGTTCTCCACTGCGAGCGATAAATCAGCAGAGTCGTGTAGAATCCGGTAACGAGACAAATAAGCCTCCCGCAGGCACACATAGCCAGAATACCTGCTCGGGTGCAGTAAAGACAGAGCGGCCAAAGATTCTTGGCAGAGCTGAATGGCCTCTTCGACATCGTCATTCTCCTGAGTTTGCATAAAACGCAAGCACAGCGCGAAGCCCAGATTTTGAAGATATGCATGGCGCTCTGAATGGTCATGTCGCAGTGACCGAAGGCATTCGCGGTACAGATCAATGGCCTCATTAAGATCCTCGATGACATATAATTCGTTGTATCTGGTGTCGAGCGCGAGGGCAAGGTTGTTGAGCGTGGTGTCACGACATGGATGCCCAGGTGGGCGCAATGTCAGTGCCTCACGAAAGAGGCTGATAGTTCGGGTTGATGTCATCAATGTCGCTGCGTTTGTTGGAAACGGCGATGAGGGCGCCCCCTAGGTTGTCTAATAAGGTATCACGCCCAACAGAGCACAGGCGCAGCGCTTCTTGGTACAAGGGATGGCTCATCGAGGTCATCAGGTTTTGCATTGGTGATTGAAGCGATCTACGAGTGAGAGGGGCCAAGTCATTTCAAGCAGCTATCACGGTCCAGGATTTCCCTCAGAAAGCAGAGGAAACGGCTTCACGACCGAGTCCTTATGCCTCTCATCTAGATCATCGATGCTGCCACATTGTGTAAAGCGCGAGTGAGTGATTGTAAAAGCGCGTAGAGTGCTCTTGGACGGCGTTGATGGCCCAGAGGACAAAGCTCGAGGATGACTTGTCGAAGGTGGATGCCTTCATCGATGTGTCTATCGGAAGATTGTTGCATCCACAGATCACATAATCGACCCCATTTTCCCCTGTCGCGTGATGCTACGAAGGTAGGTGCCCTCTGGACAGAGAGGGCAATATCTCATGACAAAGTTTGGCGGCTTCGCGGATGTCGGCAACAGTACTTCTCTCGTTGTGGCACCAGTTCAGCGCTCGGTGAGACAATATAGAGATAGTGATGATCGGGATGGCGCTGCGGACGCAATGCAAGGCTTCGCGGAACAGGGAAGTGGTGGTCTCAATGTCCTTCAAGATCGTCGCGAATATATGCCTGAAGGCGCGCGTACGCAAGGTTGGGAGAGGCAGTTGCGTGGTCAGGATGGCTGACTGGACACTGGTCTAGAACAACTGAAAATGCTGCACTGCATCGTTCAGGTGAGAGACCGCTTTGCTCGTCACGTATGCAGCAAATTGTGCATGGCCCGCATCTGTGTCTCGAGCGATTTCGCAGTCTACGAGGGACTGCGATTGGTGTTCCGTCAGCAAAAGCTAACAATAGAGACCAGCGTTACTTACATCAGACAGCACGCCCTCCTGATCGTCGCAAGTATGTACAATGGCGGCCTTCAGCGTGAGGGAAGAGTGGACACCACGAATGGGTGGGAAGGACAAAACTACGAGATGTTGGTATATGTGCATGAACGAGGAGAAATTCACTCTCACCGAAAGGTTCATCTCCGTGATCGAGTAGGTCATCCCACGACGTTTGAAGTTTCCCAATGACCTCTCCGCTGCCTAGCATTCGACCGGCCTCATAAGATGCCCATATTTCCACTGATAACGCAGGTGAGGCATGGGATGATCTAGAAACTGAAGATCAGTTCTCGGATCGCGTCAGAAAGTCTCCGTGGACTTTACAGAGTCACAGTGTCGCTCCACACTACAGATCTGTCGGATGATAAGACACTGATGGCCGATTTCCAGCGTCTCTGGGAATCGACATTGACGGATATGTAGATCCCTGCGGGAATGCGCTCGGAGGGGACTTGAAGATTTTTTCCGCTGATGACTATAAAAGAGTGTGAGGATCACGAAACGGATACAAGGTGATATGGAGCGACCCGCCTTCAAGTCTGACATATCGGCTTTCCAAGCTACCAGGCATGATGGTGTGATGAAGTAAAATAACGAGGATCGAGGATGGACTGAATGGTGAGCGGAATGAGTGAGAGGAAACGACGGGGTAGGGACTGTGGATATATGAAATTCGGCTCAGGGATCCGAGGAGAAGAGGCTGAGGGTTCAGGCTCTGCTACACGTGTATTTCCAGTTCGGCACGATAGACGCTGGTACGATTGCACTAAGCGCTGAAAATGGAGATCATTAGGATTAGCGGAAGAATCTGTGCTAAAGAATAGACAATGACATTGATCAGTTTTCAGCAAAAGTGGCCCGCACAGGTTGAAGGGGGTATGCGAGTCTCAGAGCGTCTGGTGATAGTTGCTGCGCCTAGACTTGTATCATGGAGTCGCATCACTCATTTAGCACACTTCGAAAGCAAAACGTAGAATCGAGCGTGTTTCCTAAAGTAGTGGAAATAAAGACAATACAAACTGCTGAAAACGGCGCGCATAGAAAAGTCGAACGATTCCATACAGTGAATAGTATGAGTGACACTGTGAACCTTGGAATAAGTCTTTAGAATACCTGGTCTGCCCAATATCAACTTGTGTCTGCCGTTAAACAAGCCTTTAGGGATTGTGCAATGTCTATTAAGGAGCATGATATGCAACCAGTAGATATCAGGACAGTGCTAGAGATATTGTAGTGTACACATTACTTAGAGCCCATCTGGACAACGAATAACAAAATTTCAAATTTCAACTGAGTCATGTCACATGGTCTGGAGATCCCGGATCACACACCTCGGTTAGACTTCGTATTAACAATGATAACGCTTCGCATACATGGACTATGATATTGACCTTGAAGCGCAACAACAATTCGACCAACGTCGACGTCGCTGGACCGTGATTCTCATAGCTATGGTAGTGCAAATTATGAATACCTACCAGCTTCTGTTCTTATCCTCAACTGTCCGCATCCCATATCATACATCCATCCTCACTGGTGAAGCATGGGTGTACGAGCTCATTTATGGACATCCTGACAGGATCCGGCACAACTTTGGTATTGATGGCAATGTTTTCAATGCACTGCTGCAGGTTCTTCACCACAATAGATTTGTCCTATCCCGCAATGGCGTATCAGTGGAGGAGCAGCTTGGCATTTTTTATATACATGTGTCACTGGATTATCATCCCGCCTTGTTGGGGAGAGATTCCAGCGCTCCCCTGACACGGTCACAAGGTATAGTGGTCTCGATATTATTTTTCAAGCGACTTAATCTATTTTCCAAGATATTTCAAACGCATGCTTTTCTTCTTCTCGTCGAATCCATTTTACAGCTCCCAGATCACATTTCCGACTCACACAACCCCAATTTCCCATAAAATTCTCGATGATCCTCGATATCGGTTCTTTGATCAGTGTATCGGTGCCGTAGACGGCACGCATATCCAGGCTTTTGTACCGCCAGAGGAACACTTTCACATGCGTAACCGCAAAGGTTTTTTATCGCAAAATTGTCTGTTCATCTGCGATTTTGACCTCCATTTCTTGTATTCACTCTGTGGGTGGGACGGATCTATGTCTGATGCTGCTCTGTGGACGGACGCCCATTCAAACGACCTACGCATCCCTGAAGGTCGATACTTTCTTGCGGATGCTGGTTTTGGTACCTCGATGTCCTCCTTGTTCCATACCGGAGTGTCCGTTATCATTTGAAAGAGTGGCGACAGGCCAATATCAAGTAGTACTAATCCTTTATTATTTTAAGTTAGCGTCTGACTGGGATTCTACACAGGCCACAGAATGCCAAGGAACTATTCAACCTTCGTCATGCTGGACTTCGCAATGTGATTGAACGCATTTTTGGTGTTATGAAGCGTCAATGGGGCATCTTGCGACATGTCCCTGAATATAACATGGATATTCAGGCTCGGATCCCTGTAGCGCTGTGCGCACTGCACAACTTCAATCAAAGGTATCATCCTGACGACTTTGACGTCGAATCTGACGGAATGAACCTTGATGTTGCGTTGGGTGAACTCGGCGATGGACCAGCTGACACAGCGGAACGGAGCAGAGCGGATCAGCGGCGGGAGAGAATTGCAGAGGAAATGTGGGCTGACTATCTCAATGAGCATAGGGAACGAGGACTTCCATTGCCAGGTACAGCTTGAATACAAATAAGTAGTAGTTTGTATTGTCGTACTACACTCCGCGGAACCGCCGCTTCAAGCTCTATACCATTACTACATCGTCGTCTTGGTTGGACTTGAGTTTGCGGAGAGTTTTCTCCAACCAGGCAGCTCGAGTTGTCTCTGGAAAATTAGAAAAAATTACAGCCTGTGTCTTGTCCCTAGCGAAGTAGTCTGCGATCTCGAGCTGATCATCAGCTGTAAGAGTCTTATGTTCTGATAACAAGACAACAGCACGAGCGAGGGGGTCAGATGAAGTAACCTGGGGGGGAGTTTGGAGGTAGTCTTTGATGTAAGTAGCGAGCTCCTTCATCGTCTCAGACCCATCCTTTTGTGCCTGGGCAGTTACAGATAGTGGCCGGCGTGTACGTTTTCGAGCGCTTGCTTCTGATTCAATAATTGAGGGTGTGGAACTGATTCTGCGCTTTGCACTGCGGCTAACACTTGTCAACACAGACGAGGGGGCTGAGCCACCACCGGAAGAGGTAAGGAAACAAGATGGAGTAGAGGGCGATGTTGATGAGGGATCACTGAAAGTGGCCGATGGCCCAGGAGTGGGAGAAGCCCACTGCCACCCACTTGCATGACTTCTTCGGTTGCAGAGGTAAGCTGGCTGAGATTAAAGGAGGGAGGAGTAGCCTGAGGGATGTCATTGCCGGTGGGCACTGGAGGTGGTCGATAGACATGCGATCCTTTTGCAATCTTTGGCGTCATCTGCTCCATAGCAGAGGTATGTTTGAAGCCCTTATTTTGAAGGCCTTCGCTGCAGGGCGTCGCTGAGAGTGATTGCGTTATTAGTAGTGCGGCTGCAGCAGTGGCAACAATACATACCTTGACGTACCGATCCCAGACATCATCATTCTTCATCACTATTCCAGCTCCATACTCATCACTCCATGTAAATCCCGATGTGTTCTTGATATCTGCGACAGCACCATATGATGTTTTGAGCTGCAAGACATACATTTGAGTTTTCCCTGATCACCGGCAACACGATCATCGGACTGATAACATACAGATTGCCACTTGTTCTTACAAACACCAGCTGTCTTCTCAGCACCAGATGCGTTTGGGAATCTCTCCTTCAGTAGATTTGCAGCGCTGGTGAGTGTTGTACCCTTGGGATTTCCATCGCCACTTGCAGAGAACTGAGATAACAGGAAGTCAACGAAAACAGTTTCCTTCTAGCGTCCAGGAGGCAGCAGGCTTTTGCTTTGGTTCTTCTTCAATTCTATGGATCAACAGTACCACGAGAACGAAGGGAGCGATTAGATCCATCACTGTGGCTTGATACATTAGATGACATGGCGGTTATGGCAGGGAAGCAAGGTGCCCTGTGTGAAAGAATCTGTGTGATCCGGGATCTCCCAGACCATGTGACATGACTCAGTTGAAATTTGAAATTTTGTTATTCATGTGTCCAGATGGGC